GAGGAGAAATGCAGTGACTAACACTGAGTCTTACTCACAGCAGGCTAATCTACATAAAAGGCATAAAATTTGAAAGTACTTGGTTTAACTTTCTGCTGAGATTCTTTCAAATTATGACCTTTAAATTACACTGACTATGACATCTGCTTGGCAGAGCAATACTTGACTTGACATTTTAATGTGGTTAAAAAAAACAATACTCCAGTTCATTTATAAGTGTTTCTACTTGTGTTAAAAAGATGATTAACCTTAAGGTCAGACTGCTGTGTTTCTTTTGTTCCAGCATTCACTTCTGCACAGGTTTAGTTAAGGCCCCCCAAAAATCCGCAACAGTTACTTCAGGGCACTTTTTAGGATTAGGTGAAGATCATAGAAGGTTACAGACGGAAGCCCCACCAATCCGTCCACCTCACACGAGCAAGCACTTAGCAAGAGCAGGGAGAAAAAATGAAACCTAACAGGAAGGTGGCCATCTGCCGAAACTAGCGGGGGCGAGAGAAAAAGATGCACAAATTTATTGCCCTTGCTAAATCTCATCAGCTTTTCAGCCTATAAGACGACTTGTACAGATGTCATAAACAGATGTTTATCTGTTGTGTTGCATCAGTTCTGCTCTGGCTCAAATTTGTAATCGCAAGATGGTGTGATAAAGAGAAGAGATCAAAATCTTTGAAATCTATTTTAATGTATCGTTATTTTTTCTGTCACAATAGAGGGAGAAATAAAGAAGAGCAAAAATAATAAGTACCGGTACTGGAATCAACTATGAGTCATAACAGCAACGAGAGGGCCCGAACATTTTCTCCACTGTAACCTTCAAACTGAAGACTTTAAACACACAAACTCTCATATTGTCAAACTTACTTAAAGGAAATCTCTCTGCCAAGATTTCAACACTGTAAGCACCTAGATTTACAGCGTGTGTGTGTGTGTGTTTGTATGCACTGCAGTTTATTACCAAAGCCTCCCACCTTGCCAGCCGAGCTCACTTCGATGAGCTGCAGATACATCTTGGCCAAATATCACACAGCACTATGCACCACTACAGCAACTCAGCAACTCAATTTCCAACACTTGATTAGAGCTAAATGAAT